ACACAAAACCAGACTTCACCTCACTCAGCAGGTGCCTGGTTCATTTGATTTAATGAAATGCTTGATTTAAGTCTCAGATAATCCACCCACCCCCAGCCTAGAAGACAGGCAGAGACAGATTTTCTTCTCCCACATACTCCTCTGAATTTAGCAAACGTGAATCAGGGGGTAGGATAGGATTAGACTGAGGAGCACAACTGGTACTGCACTATGTGTCAGCCTTGCAAACCTGAGGAAAAGGGGTGATCTTCCATTTACTGGCCTGTAGAAATAGGAGTTCTGGGGGTGCAGGCCTTCTGCATGACTTCCTTGAGGAATCTGGTTCAAATAGCAAAGTTGGTTGACTCTGAAGCCTATATGTTATCTTGTCCTGGTACACTGTTATTTCCTCTTATAGCTTGGGCTTTTGTTTCAATCTTAGGCTCCTAAAGCACATTCAGAAATGGGAATGCAAGCTGCTGTTGAATTTGGTCAGAGCAGAGTCAGGGCTTGCAATTGTCATTATGTGTACAAGAAATGGTGTGACCTGTCTGTGTAGATTATGTAGCATATTTATTTGTAGCTTGGAGGATGTGGGAAGGGATAACCAATTCTTGTGTATGCTGTTAATGCGTGAAGACATAAGTTGTTTTATATTTTCTTATACTAAAGCTGGTTGTAGGAAAAGGACTGTCATTTTGTGTTGTGCTTTTATAGCATCAGACCTCCAGGATCCTAGCCTGTGACCAAAGCATGTAGGCACCAGACTAATAATATATAATAATAATATATGGCATTGGCATAAGCTAAACTTACTTAATAGAGCCCCAAGCTTAGTTGCTAGATTTTCATCATTACAGGCAAATAATCCTGGGGATTTTCAGATGAGTTAGACCCTGCCCCTCCCACCCCCCTACCTCAGGAATGAGCTCTTGGAGAGAAAAACACATAAAACTTACAACTTTTACAAAAGTGGGAACTTTGTTCATTCCACAAAGAAATACAGAGTGCACTTGATAAAAGTACCTACTTTGGTCTCATAGATTTATCAAGAGACTTGCTGAAAAGGGTCTTCCAGCTCTTCAGGGAAAGAATTTGCTTTCCAAAAGTCGTTTTTGACTGAAAGCTACTGAATGTTACCAGTTATGAAAATCCAGTTACTTCATATCCAAAATGTGAATGCTGGAACAGTAAGCTTGGTCTTTTGAAAATTATGGCCAAAGAATCTGTTTGTGTGTCTATATATAAATATATAATTTTTAATGGATTTTGAGTTACCCAGAGCTGAACAGAATCAGAAATTGCTGAGACATAAATATCACTCTAATGTAAATATATTCATCATTTAATCCTCATAAATACTGGATTATAGACTTCTGAACAGAGACTGACAATTATTGGAAATCATGTGGTCATCTCAAGTATACAGTACCTCAATTTAAAAAAACCCACACAATCCTTTTTCTTTTTTAAAAGCACATCTAGCATATAATTTATTTGGTTGGACTCTACAAATATACACATTATATCATGCTAGAAGAACTTGAGAACCACTTTTTTCTTGTTCCCAGGGTCTCTTGACTGTTAGTAAGACATTACAGTCATAATGATAGAATCAGTTTACAGTTGCAAATTCTGCCAAATAGCTCACAAATTATATTTGGCAAACAGCACTGCCTCTGTTTCACAGAGATAATGATCTGATGTTTTGTTTATGTGGCACCAAAGGAAAATATTATTTTAGAGCTTGTGACAGAATTTCAAAAAGTTTGTGTGGTAGTCTAAACTTCTGCTACATTTAAAAGTTACCACTCTATTAAATGCAGAGTAACACAGATTTTCAAAGTATCCTTCAAAAAAAAAAAAAAAGAAAAAATCAAACATATGTTCAATTAAATACATTGTGTCCATTTTATTTTCTCAGCATTTACCCTGACCTATATAGCAGCTGGTGTGGATATTCATGCACTACTCTTTACCTCTGATAGTGTCAAACATACAGAAGAGTTGCCGTGTAGGCTGCTCACCTTTACAGGATTCAGTGTTATAGAAGTGCTTTTAGGATGTAGTCTGAAACCCACTGCACAAAATGGAAAATACTACATCAGACTTGACCCACCTAGAAGCATGCAGCCAGCAGGCGGTTTGGAAAGGGAAACAGAATAACCTTGAGAGTGCTGTTCTTTGGATGACTCTGAAAAGAAAGAGACAGGAGCAGTGGGTTTGAACTGAATGTGGGACTCCGCTCTGAGACAGGCGGTTTCCATTCTGTAAGCTGTAACCTACCTGGTAAAGGCTAAACTTTATTGGTAAATCCACTGGGAATTTGTTTCTGGCAACACCATTGGACCGAGAATAGAGCATACCATACCAGCAGTGGATCCAGGTGCCCTGACACAGTTGGCACCAGCAGCCAGCCTGTCAGCAGGCTCAGCTAGCATGCCCTAGGTCTCCCTGTCTCCTCTACTGCTGGCACAGCAGTGTCCCAGGAGAGTTCAGTCCAGGAACCAAGTGCTACTTCTTGAGTCTGGGACGTGGTTTCTGCTTTGATTCGTTGTCTAGCAGCTGGTTGGGTGAGTGTGGGTAGGATGTGCTGTGGGATTGCTGCAGGGATGGCAGAGGAGGCATTGCCCAAAAGGGAAGGGCAAGGTGGTTACATGCACTGACCTCAGCAGAAGGGTTGTCCTGTCCCTGGAGAGGGGCTAGACCCAGGGCCTTTATCTTGGTGATGGCAGCAAACCAAAGCCCTGGAACGACTGGAATCATATCTACCTTCACACTGATCACCTAGGGTGGTTTGGGGAACCTCCTCTGGAGTTTTCTGAAGGAGATGAGCACCAGTAGCTGTCCTTCTCCTTTTGCATCCTTGTGCAGCTTCTTTGATTAGACTTTCGGGATGGAAAAACAGGGATACAAAAGGAAACATGGCAATAACCATCCCCAGAGAAGTATCTTTTGTGGGAAGAACAGGGAATGTGGGCCCCTTGATCTGAGCTTGAGATAAGAGCCATCAGCTGTTGTTGAGGTTAGGCAGAGCTGTGGCAGTGGTCTTAGCAGGGGAGATCATATACACTGGTCTGGAGCTGGCTGGGGAGTGGATGAGGAGAGAAGGGCTTGCAGGCTTCCAGCTGTGAACAGGCCTCTTCCTGCCCTTCCTCTTTTGATGTTTTCCACTAGACATACAAGAGCTGCTTGTACTGAGGCAGCAAAGTCCCCAAATATTTATCAAAGGCTGTCATTGGTGGTAAAAACTGGAATGCCCAGAAGAGAGAATTGGAAAGAGGGGAGACAACAGCATGCAGGGTCATCCCGCCTTCTCCCCTCTCCATGAGGCCTTGCCTCTTCCCTTTAAGGGAAAAGAAGCTGGAACTGTGGGAAGGACTGGATTCATGCAATCTTGAGATTGCAGAAGGGAAGGACAGAAAGATGCATAAGGTACAAATGTCTGATTTTACTGAAAGACTGGAAGGAGGTGACATGCAAACAGTACACAAATACCATGAGCAAGTTCAAGTGGAGGTGGTAGCCCCTTCAACTGGCAGGTGTGGCTCTTATAACAGCCCTTATGTCAATTTGTCTTGTTACTTTAAACTCACTAATGCAAATCCAATGAGATCTTTACGGAAGTTTGCTAGGAAAATACTGGCTTCAAGGGCAGATTCTGGCTATGTTTGGGCATGAGAGGCTGCAACTGCTAATAACTAAAGCTAAACTGACCTTCATGCTGCCATCTAGTGTTTCCTCATAGACAGAACCAACATCCAAAAAAAGAAACTTTGCAGCTCCATAATGCTGTATTCAGAACAAATGTAATTTATTCCTGATGAAATACAATGCTGGACAACACACAGGAGAGAAAATGGGTAAGAGACATATGGAGGACCCACTGCTCAGGGGGAATGTTTAGGGAGACATGTTTTCTTAAAACATTTGTAATTATTTCATCCAGGAACAGAGAGAGTCATCTCCACTGCAAGATGATTATTCAGCAGCAGAATCTGTCCTCACTTTTTTCACTCTGTGAAACTAATATGGCTGTTTGCAAGGTGCAACAGTACACGACAGAGAAAGAATCCTGACAAAAGCTTGTCTTAACTGAGAGAGACCAGCATAAGAAGCTTGGCAGGTTCTTCTGGTCTGTCCTTGCTACTCTCATAAACAAACAAATGGGATGTTTATTCACAGTCATCAGATGCTGATTTTCCTCTCAAGTGTACATGACAGCTAACAAAAGGTAACAAGTTATTGTGGGAGGAACATGCAAAAAATTTGACTCTTGGCCCTTCAAAGCTTGGTCCCTGGCTTTGAGGAGCTGTAACAGGACACTCTTGCAGCTGTTGCACATCCTGGATTCATGCTGGAACTGTAGAACTCTAGCCTTAATAGTAACAACTCAAGAGTTCATGGGCTGGATGATGCATTTACAACAGATAGAGCATTCTTTTTGCCCAGGCTTCTTTTAGGTGTTTTGAGTCAAAGTTCAAAACAAACCTGAAGCGTCCAAAATCACTACTCTCTTTTGGAGACCCTGTCTTCTGACATTTGCCTCCTGACAACCTGAGCAGGAAAGCTGCAAAGAAAGACTGCACAAGTGAAAAAGGGCAAAAGTCAGCTAATTTAAGGAAACAGACTGTCCAGAGAGGAAGCCATAATCAGCAGCCTTTAAAGGCCTCCTGATGGCATTGTATGATATCAGGTATAAATTTACTAATTTGCAGGAAAGTTTTCCCATTTTCAATAAAATTTTGGTACCAGGATTTGAACATTATATATATGAACTGACTGCATGTTCTCAGTGCAGTCATAACACGGCTTGTTTAGGTGAAGAGAAATAGAAGCACAGAAAAGAACAGAACCAAAGTCTTCAGCAGAAAGGACCGTGTACTTCTCTGCTTACGAGTCAAAACATGCAAGTGGTCTCAGGCCCTTAGATCCTTAAAAGACCTCATCCACAGCACAGGAATTCTTCATGTGCGCAAAGGTAGAGTCCACATTTCTGAATCACACTATTCCTGTTTTTCCACCAAGAGGACAATTGCATCCCAGATCCCAGTCCCATCAAACTGACCCTGCTGCTGGATTAAAGCATCATTATTCTTCCTCTCCAGCTGTTGGTACCAGGCTGTAACACCCATGTAGGTACCACAAGCCTTTTCCTAACACACCGAACAAGGCTGCTTTTTAGCAGTCTTTTTTTATGCTCAGTGGGCTTTGAATTCACACCAAATAGAGTTGTATGCCTGAATACAGGGCTTTTCTTTTCCAAACCTTGTGTTTAATGCTCATTAAGGAAGTCACATTCTCTTTCAGTTCCTTGTTCTCCTCCCTTCCATTGAGTCACGATGACACTCAGCAAGGATAAGTGAATGAAAAAAAGATACGCGTCAGCCCTCTTCCAAAATGTTCAGGACTTCTGTGGATTAAAAAAGAGCAAGAGGCTCCTGTTTTACAGCTTCGTCTCTAAAGAGCCCATCTGAGAATACCATGGGACAAAGGCTTGAAAACCAAGAGCATATGTCTGTAAGCAGACTCTTCAGGATCTGCATCATCTGCTTGCTTACAAAAGTAGCCACATGCTTGCTGGTGTGGGATACAGGGACCACAGAGCAATGGCCATATGGCTCCAAAAACAACCTATTCCCCATCCAGCACGGAGAGACTGCCATTGGAGCTCTGGCACTGGAGCTTACCAAAATCTGAAGTGAACTGGGATACTCCTTTCTGAGTGACCACTGTTTTTACTCCATGGGAAAGTGGATGAGGGCTTTCGGGACACAAACAGGCCAAAGCCACAGGAATTAGCACAAAGCTTGTGGGGGGCATGCCATGGTCTCTGGTCCCCCATCCTCTGCCAACCAGTTGAGGTGGACTAATTTTTTTTTAATTCTTTTTCTGTAATTTTCAAGATATTTTTTGTGTAAATGTTGCAAAAGAGTACTTATTATTTCTTAAGGAACAAATTTCCCCTGCACCCACACAATTTCATTTCTCTCTATCCTCCTTTTCCAATAATAGATTAAACATACCAATGGGAAGCTTCCAGAGCTCTAGGATTGGGTAGATTTTTTTTTTTTTAATCAAAAGGTACAAGTTCAGTTGTTCTTTTCTTCTCAGTTCTGGGGACAGAGGCTTTGCCCTTCAGGTAAGCTACATAAATAGGAAGAACATCAACTTCAGTATGTTGATTGCCTCATGATTCACTATAGCATTTCCCTAGTACCAGGCATGGCTGCCTCCCGAATAAGCAGAGTTAAAACTCTCCTGTAGGTGTCTAAGACCTCTCGGGCAGAAGGTCGTTCCACCGGGTCCTTCTTCTTACATGCTGCATGGATGTCAAACAAATGCAGTCGTACAATGTCACTTCCTTCAACATGGCCCAACAAAAAGTTGGAGACATCTGGGATTTTCCAGATGTCTGTTTTCTCATCATAGGGAGGCATGAGGTCATCTTCGAATGGCACATCTTCTCCATAGGGCCAACGCTGCTCGGGAGCTACAAACTCACCCTGGAGCTCCCGATGACCGCACTTCACCAGCCTGCCAGCACTCCTGTTCACCAGAGGCAAAGCATCCAAATCATTCACTAGGATGTGAAAGTCACTTGTCAGGAGATACTGAGAGAGGACCTTGTCCAGGTCATTCGAGTCGCACATCACTAAGGTGCCCAGAGGGCTGCTGTGCAGGTAACGAATGACATTCACATAGTCTATAGCAAGCATCAACCTGTGATGCCAGGTGTTCATGCTCTTGTATTTGGGAATGTGTAGAATTTCATTCAGACCCCTCAGAGAGCCAAGAGGATGGTACTCGGTGAGGATTGTGAACTGCTGCTCACAGTAGCCAAGCAGCCGGACAACATGCTTGCTCTGCAGTGCTTTCAGCATCTTCAGTCCATGGAGAAAGTCCTCCTTCAGCTCTGAGTTGGTGAGCTGTGAAAGGACCACTTTGTTTTCCTTCCACTCAGAAAGAAAGACCTGAGAACACACAAGAGACACGTAAGACACGTGGAGAGCCTTCTTCTATGAACTGCTACCACCTGCTGCTGACCTCTGACTGATGTTTAGTCACAACTGCAAATTGCAGTTACCAGGCCCCATCAGCCTTAGGTACGGCCACGTACTTCTCACAGCAAGCCCTTACCGATGTCATAATTACATCACGATTTCCTAAGTTTTCTTTGAAATGGGCAATGCAGGTGAGTTTTTTCATATCACCCAAACAGACAGTCTTACTCTGCCATGATTGTACCATGCTCCACAAGCGCTTCACTGATTTCTTTCATTTTGCTTGTGTAACTGAAAGTCATTTGGTATCAGATAGGTGGCCCAGGTCATGCTCTCCTACCTGTTCAGTTCACCTTATCAGTAGCCATATGCTCTTGGTTGTCTACAGTAATTAGCTGCTGTGAGGATAGTCATAACAGCAGTATGGGCACTAATTAGCCAGCAAACTGTGAAAGCCCATTACCTAGGAGAGAAGAAAGGAAAACCAAACTCACCTTTTTCACAGCACCTTCACCAACACATTTGAGTTTCCTGACTTCCCTATTTATGGCCTCGCAGGAAAGCCACGGGGAACAATTTTTCACTGATCCCAGTTTGAAGTGCCCAAAAGGGCAGAGGCTGGGGTCCGTTTCAGTGTGTCCCAAAGAGTTGTAAAACTTGTTGAGGTAGAGGTAGAGAAGAACATTAAGGAGCAGAACGGCCACAAGAAGTAACGCCAGCGAGATGGACGACACCTCTCTGGGAAGAAACTCTCTCCTAACGAAGTGCGGTTTCTTTTCCATGGCCTTGCCCTATCCATTCTCCGTGAAAGACGGAGGCTAAGCAGGACCCTCTTCCCAGCCCGGGGATGGACGCCTGTGGAGTTTTCTCAGCGCCGGCTGCCCAGCCGCCCCGCAGACACCTCCGCCCCGAGCCTGCAGCCTGCGAAGAGAAGCCACGCGCGGCGGCGGGACGTGCTAAACGCGGCTTCGAGCTCGACGCTTTCCCCGCTGTCCATCCTCCTGATTTTCCAAGCGGGCGGGCCCAAGCTGCCGGCCGCCGCGGGTAGGGAGGCTTGACCCCGGAAAGCACGGAGAAGCGCGGCCGTGCGGGGCGGTGGCGGCGCCGCCCCGGGGCGGAGCGCAGCGCGATGGCGGCGGCGGCGGGGTTGGCGGCCGCGGTGGCGGCGGCGCTGGGCACGCTGCTCATGGCGCCGGGCCTCACGGAGCCGCCCGGGCACGGCTCGCCCGAGGGCAGCGCGCCCGGGCCCCGCGCCGGGGCGGCGGCGGCGGTGGCGGAGCGGCGGCCGCCGGGGCGGATGGACCAGGCTCTGCTGCTTGTCCGCAACGAGCTGCCCGCTCCGGGCCTGCGCCTCGCCGCCCGCTCCGGCTCCTGCCACCAGGTGAGGGGCTGTGCCGGCCGTGGGTCACCCCCCGGCCACCGCTTCTGACAGCCCGGCCCTCGGTGGGGCTGCTCGGCTTCTCCGGCGTCTCCCCGTGGATTCATCAGGTTGCTTCGCTCCGGTTTTACCTGCGAGCAGGACGCGGGGAGTTCCCGCAGCAGGAGCTGCTCTAGCCCCGTGACAGCTTCCCTTGTTTTTGCCACCATGCGAAGCAGGACCCCCTTTCACCCTCCTTTGGCGCTAATGAGCTCCCTTCACCCTCTTCTTCCACAGTGCTTGTATCAGTTCCTGGCGTTTGTCCCACCAAGCAACGGGAGCCTGAAAAAACCAGGCACGGCGTCGGTAATGATTGATACCCAGCATCCACTCACCCTGATGCTCAACAGCTCTGTGGGTGACAGAGAGCTCTGCAAGTATGTGGCCCAGCCCCAGGGAATACATGGATAACTCTATTCTATATTTTGTTTGGTTTTTTTTTCCTTGGAGACATGTGCCTGTGTATTGCCTGCTCACACACCCTTTGTCCCGACTATTTAGACCTAGAGTTCAGACTTCTCCCCACTGCTGGAACTGTGGCATGCATTGTAATTCTGCTGAAAGGATATAGGTGCAAGCAGGAGCCAGAATGGTGTTCGCTGAGGCAGCATGTGGAAGCACCTTGTTTCTCTTGCAGGGAATCTGTAGTTCAAGAAGACAAATGATGGCAGTGCATGTGTGGTAAAGAATTGGTCTTGGGCTATGGGAGGGTAATGCTTGGCAAAGACAAGGTCCTTGCTAGATCATGTTGTTAGTCCAAGTTTTTGTCTTGCCTGTCCTAAAGCATTTGGGCTTACAGCCCCCTAAATGCTGCTGTGGTGGCGGCTCAGCAAGTTTCATTTTCTTCATCCTTTGCAGGATTCCGTATCATTTTGGAGAGTTTGGTAATTATTCCCTCGTGGTAAAGGCCCTAACTGCAAACACTGAAACTGTTTCTTGTGACCTAATCGTCAATGAAGGCCCTATCAACAGCTACCTCCGTATGTAATGCTCTGTTTTTCTCTTTAATTCTACAACTTGCATGTCTCCCAGAAGAACCACCTTCCTAAGAAGCCTGTGCAGCCACTCATGCTGGGCTGAAGAGTTGTCATGGGCTTGCCCCTCTTCTTTCTCAACATCTTGCTTCCTTATGTTTTATACACTCATCTTGAGGCCCTGACCAGGATCAGGGCTCTTCATGTGATATATGGTATGCCCACAACCTTTTTGCTGGAGGGATTAGTCCAAAAAAATCAGTGGATATGTGTCCAGAGGGAGATACTGTCATAACTAGTTTGTTTCCCTGTATGTTTATATATGTACACAGAATCCTCCCTCTTCTTCCCTCTGTCTTGCTTCTCAAAAAATTGGAAACAATTCCCACAGTGTTTGGATTTTTGTTTGTTGTTGCGGTTTTGATTTTAAACCTGACGTTTTTCTTTTTTTGTTCATCTCTTTTCCAGGACTGTTTCAAACTCTTGACTAAGTCTCTTCCATTCTTTTCCTTTACATTACATTATTTTTCAGTCCTTCCAGTTTCCCAGCTGTAAAGAAAAATTCTCCATGCTTGCAAACTCGGTATATTGTCCACTCCCCTGTGTCCTCCATGTTGAGGCTGTTTAAAATCTCTAGTTTTATTCTTCAGAATATATAGCACATCAGCTCTTCTCTCACTATTGCCTTGTGATGCAATGCAGTTCTATTTTTGCCTTTTTTATGCCAACATGTGTAGTCCCTGAGCTGCACTTTGAAACTAGCCTGCTTTTTGTTGGGTTGTTCTGGGGGTTTGTTGTGAGGTTTTTTCCTTCTGGAACTCGGGCTGGGGATGTGTATTGCGTGGAGAAGGTGGTGTGATGATTGGTGGGTTGGGATTTTTGTCATGTTTGTGTCATGCTTGGCCAAGCGCAAGTTGCTGAATGGTTTTGTTAGATCATTTAAAGAGTTGTGTTCTTCTCTTTCTGTGTAGCTATTCTTTTCGCTTTCCTGGTTTACGTGGGGATCCTTGCTGTTCTGATTGTTGGGCGCCTTTTTATGAAGTAAGTGAACAGAAATTCCTCCTCACACGTGAAGTGGGGCCACCAGTTTAAAAACACATGAAATAGTGTGGTAATGCTTCAGAATCCCGCTTGTAGCCCTGCTTGCAGATCATCAGATCCTACTATCAGGTTGCCATGTGCAAGTTATGCTGTGGTAGCTGTCTGTGCAAAATAAATGCACAGTGATGTGATTTTGCTTGAGGGATATCTTGCAGCCTTATTAGCTTGTGTGCAGAGTAGTTACTGCAGAGCAGCTGATGTCCACTGTAAGCTCACGCACACTCTGCCTCACCCTCCTGTGACTTGTTCCTGGGTCTAGCCTGGAATCAGTAATCAAAGTCAGTGGGACCTAAGTGTGTGTAGCATATGCAACCTTCCACCTTGTGTACTTAATGGCATGAGTCATCCTTGCCTGTAAGCAACCCAAGAATTAAACCCCCAAGCCTGAGCTTGTCAGTGTAACTACACAGCTGGACTTAATTGAGATCCTAGGTACTGGCCAAATGTCAGTACCTGTGTGAGCTGTAAAAACAGAAATAGGGACTGTCCCAACTTTTGGTTTATGCTGCTAAATAGTTGCTATTAAAATGAAATTGACTATAAAGTACTTCTTGTTTTGTTTCATGTTTTAAACTGTTACTAATTTTCAGAATTGATCCAGTCAGAAACTGGGTTTACAAGAAACTGAACCCCAGAGAAACTGATCGTCTGATTAATTCTGTGAGTGACCACAGTATCTTCAGTTTGCATTCTGTAGTGTTTTCATCTCTGAGGAAAACACACACTATTTGGACATCTGGGGACTTGTTTGTTACTAATCATCTTCCCCTTTTGTGTGTTCCCCTTAGCAAATCTTGTCTTGATGTCAGAGGCAATTTTATGTCAATGAAGAGTGTTAGAATGGGTTTCCATTTAGTTTAGTGGCTTCCCTGTAGAGCTCTCGCAAGTTTTGAACATACAGCTTTGTGCTCTCTTTAGTTCCCTTGAAGCAAACGTGTTGGTGAAAATACTGGCCCCTTCTGACACAGTGTAAGGGAAGGGAAGAAATGACAGCCTTCATGTCTGCTTCCAGCACAGCAGGAATTTTAGCAAAAAACTGAAGCCTAAATTTCTCTGGTACCCCTAGAGCTGGCATTTCTGTGTGAACCCCATTTTGTACTAGAATGTAGATAGGTCATCACAGTCTGGACTTCACATCTAGGCCAAACCTGGTCCAAACCCATCTAGAATAAAAAGACTTGGAAGCAGAGCTCTGCAGCAATTCTTGTAGTTTTTCATCTCTATAGCCATGATAGAGTGGTCTGCTTCTTTATGCTGTCATTGAGGCTGATCAGAGTAGTTTAGGAAACTCAATTGCAAAGAAGCCACTCCTGCATTTAAAAGGATTCATTTTCTGCTAGTTTAGCTCTCAAAGCAGTCTCACTGTGGTGTCAGACAAGTTTTGTCGGAATGGGATGGATCCTTTTTGAGGGTCAGCAACTGGATTTGCTCAGCTCTGTTGTAAAGCAGTACTCACAGTGATGGCAAGTCTTTGGCTGATTTGGACTGGACCCAACTCTCATGGGTCTCAAGCACAGGCTCTTTTTACTGAGCTGTTGTTTCTACCTGGTCAAATGTGGAGTATGGAGCATCTGCAATCATTATTGCAATATGGTGGAGCCAGGAAGAGGTTATTAGTAACAAGTGAGGAAACAAAAGGAAAACAGGGAGAATAAAGACAGAGTTTGCGAAAGTTTGGAGTTTGCTGACCTCTGTTCCCTAGGCAGCTGGTGCAGCTGCTGACTTGCTCTTCATGTGTCTGGTTTGTTCCCGAAGGAGCTTGGATCCCCAAACACAACAGACTCCATTAACTGTGATCCTGCCCCGCATTCGTGGAGCACAGCCTCTCGGCAGCGGCTGCATTCCCTTGACACGTTCCGAGGGTGAGCATAAGATCTTGCTCGAAAGCAACTCTTCCAAGGGGAATGAGATTTTTCCAATGGTGCCTTGACAGCGTATGGAAATACATAGCAGATGGACAGTTCAAGGTGGTCTGTTTTACTTGGAAGTTAATCAAGGTTTTAATTTCAGATTTTCCAAAATACTTTGCAGTTGATCTAGTTTGAAGAAACATTAAAGTTGTGATAGAGGGTGGAAAAGAACAACGTGTGTTCAGTGTGAAAATGCTATGTGAAGGAGCTTACTTCAGTTCGCTGCCACCCGTGATCTTTGAAACACTGCTTCCTGCTTGGTAAAGCTGGAAACCGTGTTGGAAACCTTGGAAATCTTTCTTTAAAAATGAAATAAACCAGATCTCACAGTTAGAAATGTTTTAGTGGGGGTAAACAGTAACTTTGTGTTCATATATATATTTCATTGACATGCGATACTTAGTGTTTTTCTTGTCTTTTTAGGCTCTCTCTTGTAATTATGGTGTTTGTTAACTATGGAGGAGGAAAATACTGGTTCTTCAAACATGAGAGTTGGAATGGTAAAGTACAATTGAGACAGATAATCTGGGTTTTAACTGCAGCAGTGTCTAGGTACGGTTGGCATTGCAACTGCTGCAGTGAGCTGTTGTTCAGCTGAAGGCTGGCATGCTGTGCCAGTTTGCCTCTGCAGGGTGTCTGGCCTGTCAGGTTAATGGACAAAGCAGTGTATGG